ACACTGACTGACTGCATCTTTTTGTAGTACAAACCTCAAATTAAACCAAAATACAGCCTGGCCCCGTTTCAGTCTTGGCTGAGCCTTCTTTAGCACGATGCATAGACATCTGGGACATGTAGTCAGAGTGGCTCTTTCTTCATATTCTGTTGATAGCTTTATTCATTTTGGAAAGTTTTAAGATATGTTAAAAGACTGGAATTTACCATAAGTACCTTTGAGCTGTGCAATGGTTTTGAGAACCCTGCAGCTACAGTAAAGTTTTTATGTTTAAGGTAATAATAATAAAACACACACAAAAGTATGGAGAGATTTAGAAATTGTTCTGATTGCTACATAAGAATTTAGTTTTACTTGAACATTAATTACTGATAGATGAATATTTTTTAAATTACTAATTTAAGTGAAGCTTAAACTTTTTTTTTGTATAGAAAAACTCTGTTATCATCATGCACATGTGTTGTCAGGCAGTGGACTTCAGGGCCTCTGTGGCTCTGGACTACAGCAGTGCTGAACAGATGGTGCTGTTCACTGCTAGCAGAGTGGGTTGGTTTTCCCATGGCGCCACCCAGTGGCGGTCCTAGCCTGTTTGGTGCCCTGGGCGAACACGCCCTCTTTTTTCTAAACTGAGCACCTGATGGCTTTGACCTTTTCTTGTCCATCTTCCGCTGGTTTTAGTGTTGCACTACGGTATGAACATCCATCCCCCAACCCGAGGATCACCACAACATATCGTAATAGACCTACACCTTTAATCATAGATTGGCTTTGTCTAGACTCTAGGGTTTATTTCTGGGATTTTGCACAACCGAGGAGTCTAATCATGAATACATAACGGGCTTGGATTTACATCATTATGAATGAAATGTGCTCTATTTGGAAGCAGCATGTCTCCCTCCCCTTTCGACAGGTTGCGTGTGAGACTTTAAATCATCAAACTGTAAATTATACATTTTTAATTGTTATTGATCTCTTTACCCCGAGTCCTAAAGTGTATATTTATTTTCTTACTCTACTTATATTTATTGTTTGTTTACTTGCACTGCTGTAACTGGAGCCTCGCCGTCTCGGCTCTCTATATACTGTACTTATATAGTGGAGATGACAATAAAGTTTACTTTGACTTCAGCAGCAAGTAGGCGCACCGAGGGCTCTCGCGCTCACTTTTCGGTATAGAATTTCGAAAAAATGTCGGTGCAGATTATAAGTCTGTATCATAATGTCTGGTGTTTTCGTGTTTGTTTGTTTTATTTTGCGAGTTGGTTATTAGATGGTGCTAATAACCAACTGAGGAGGATGTGAGGATATGAGAAGGAAGTGCTTCAGGAAGGTGAACGCGCGCAAAGCTACTGGTCCGGACGGGATTCCCGGCCGCGTCTTCAAGTCATGCGCGGCTCAGCTGGCTGGAGTGTTCACGCACATCTTCAACCTTTCCCTCTCTCTGTCTGTAGTCCCAGCCTGCTTCAAAATGGCCTCCTTCGTCCCTGTACCCAAATCCTCCACCATCTCCTCATTGAACGACTGGCGACCTGTAGCCCTGACCTCCATCGTGAGCAAATGCTTCGAGAAGCTGATCAGGGACTTCGTTTGCTCTGCACTGCCTGACTCACTGGACCCTCTACAATTTGCATACCGCCACAACAGGTCCACTGATGATGCCATAGCCCTGACACTACATACTGCCCTGTCACACCTGGAGAAGAGAGACACGTATGTGAGAATGCTGTTTGTAGATTACAGCTCAGCATTCAATACCATCGTTCCCTCGAAGCTGGACAGGAAACTGCAGGATTTAGGACTGAGCAGCTCCCTCTGCAGCTGGATCCTTAGCTTCCTGTCTGACAGACGCCAAGTGGTCAGACTGGGCAGCATCACCTCATCCACACTGGTGCGTACTGAGCCCTGTCCTGTACTGGTAAATGGACTGATTCTTATATAGCGCTTTTCTACTCTCCCGGAGTACTCAAAGCAACATGCCTCATTCACCCCCACTCATACAACTCAAGTGTAACCTAAACTACATTCACACAGATTCATACTCCGATGAACGCATCGGAGGGCAACTCTGGGTTAGTATCTTGCCCAAGGATATTTGGCATGCAGACTGAGGAAGCCAAGGATCGAACCACCAACCTTCCGATCAGTAGCTGATCTGCTCTACCACCTGAGCCACCCCACTCTACTCACTCTACACCTACGACTGCACGGCCATTAGCAACTCCAACATCATTGGGAAGTTTGCGGATGACACTACAGTGGTGGCTCTTATCACCAAAGGTGATGAGATGGCCTACAGGGAGGAGGTCAGCGCCCTGACCCACTGGTGTCGAGACAACCATCTCACCCTCAACGTCGCAAAGACAAAGGAGTTGATAGTGGACTTCCGGAGGTGCAGAGAAGTACGCACCCCCATCACCATCAACGGCGCTGCTGTGGAGAGAGTGAGCAGCTTCCGGTTCCTTGGTGTACATCTGGCTGAGGATCTTACGTGGTCAGTACACACAGTGAAGAAGGCGCAGCAGCTCCTCTTCTTTCTCAGGAGACTGAAAAGATTCTGCAAGCCATTCTTATATTTTGCTTGTTCTTATGTTATTGTATTTTGCACACCTCTGTTGCTTGTGAAGCTCGCACACAAGAATTTCACTCACATGTGCTGTACCAGTGTATCTGCACATGTGATGTGACAATAAAAGTGATTTGATTTGAAATCCCCGCCGCCACGCCCTCTCCTCCTTGTGCCGCAAGCAGCAAGCGCAGCTCGCAAACGGAGGGCGCCCTTACTCCCCGCAAATGGCCGCAAGAACACCGATCGGTGCCTATGACATCCCCAGAATGCGCTGGCATGATGTCGGGGCAGCATGAGTACGAGCAACTTTTTTTTTGCCGATGCCCGTTATGCCGCCCCCCACTACGATGCCGCCCCGGGCAACCGCCCATGTCGCCCATATCAAAACCCGCTAGTGGCGCCACCTGACTGCAGCGGTGGTAAAATTTACACACACTTGTTATTTGAGCAGAAGTGCAGATAAGAATTACTCTGGCAAGGACTGATTTGACTTCTTTACTCGGCAAAAGTGTAAAACTACAGGCTCTGAAATGTACTCAAAGAGTAAGTAACAGTAGGTCTTGAATGAAGGTGCGCTAGACTTCCAGTTCATCAAATGTCACTGAGCGCTCCTTTTAAAAAGATAAGCGCTCTTCTTCCTCCTGTCATGTCTTTCTTACATCTTTCTCCATCTCTGCGTGAAATTATCTCACAATCATCAAACTCATCTTTTCTCTGGTAAGCAGCTGCAGGACAACTGTATGACAGCCTTTGCTGCTACTGTCTAATCTATTGGAAACATTGCACGTGAAACTGCATTATTTTGTACTCCTGGTTATTTGTATTCATGTTCTACTCTCTTGTATACCTCATCTGTTTGTATGTTGTACTCACTGATTGATTAATAAAGTTCTAGTTAAAAAAAAAAAAGCAGTGGGTGCGGACTTTGTCCACCAAAAACGGAGCTGAAGAAGGAGGCTCTTGACTTTTAAGCCATTTCGTCTTCCTTTTTTAAGCCATTTTCGTCTTCCTTCGCTTACCTACAATGGAGATACCAGTGTACACGCTGGATTCCTTCACCAATTTGCCGTTCAAGGGAAACCCTGCGGCAATTTGTCCACTTCTGCATGTGAGTAAAACTATTTAGGCCACAGCTTAATGTGTAGTCTGGCGCTATGGCGGCCTGCATCGGTGCTTCGCACAAGTGCAGACCAGAAGCAGAAATTCGTTCTGCAAAACAAGCTCGACAAACATGTGTGTTTAAAGGTATTTTAACTCAAACAATCTTTTATCAATCAAACCATGAAAATTAAAGTGGGTTTTTTTTTTTTTTGCTTTCCCCTGAAAACTTTCTTATCACACAAGAACAGATACACACAATAAGATACATCAGCCTGCTGCTTCTAATTAACTTATTTAGTTGTTTATTATTTTTCAGTCAGCAAACTTCGTCTGTTTGCCTGCCAGAAGCTTACAATCATCTGCTTTAGAAAGATGAAGTCTCAAATGGAGGTCAGTCCACTACTGCCACCTGTGGCCAAGTGCTACTACTAGATTAACTTGTGACATATCTGCAGAAGAAGCTGAGTGGCTACACTTACATCTGGATCATTCAAATCGACCCACAAACATGTTGAAAGATGCAATGACAGCAATGTGGATTGTCAGGACTAAAACCAATCATTAAGTAAAGACAACAGGGATCATTTGTTTCTGTTTATTTAGCATGCACAACATTTGTAGTCTGGCCTCCATTTGAGACTGCTCCAGCTGCTATGTGATGGTCAGTAGATCTGCTACAAATTGCAGATCATATGCAAGTTTTGGAAATAAATCATGAATATTCCTTGCTTAGCATTAGAAGTAAACATTTCTAGCTCTCCCCCACACTCAAACACAGATGACAAACCAACTGACACACCTGAGTCACTCACTTTCTTAAATCCAATCACTCTCACTGGCTCTGTTTATTACTAATCACTGTGTAACAGCTGTAAATTCACGGTAACTGCCATCTCCTTACAAATGTTTATAGATTAACCACAATTATACAACTCATACAAACTCTCTCCAGCCATGTTGTTGTTTTACCTATACTGGCTGAAAATGTTGATTTCCAGAGAAAAGACACAGGCAGACTATGCTTACAGGATGTGATGTTACAACACCAGTGAAATATGAACGTGTCATATATTTGTTCAAGACGTATTTCTTTGTTATGGGAAGAAATATTGAAATCATCATGAACAACGGGAGTGGTGATTTCTATAACTTTGTGTATATAATTGTGCATTTCTTACTGATGTAGGCCACAAATAAATACATAATACCATTTCATTTATTTTAAAGGTTTATTTGCAAGACATGCAAAAAATAGAAAGTTCCAAATGTATTGTGCATGAAACGAATTCAAACGTGGCGATAGAGCCAGGTGCAGATGTGTCACAAGTTAATCTGGCTGTAGGCTGTGGCGCTCGGCCACAGGTGGAGCTAGTTGACTCGACTCCATTTGAGTGAACACAAAGTAAACTACACTCTTTAGTTGTGAAGCGAAAACACTGAAATCGGAGCAATAACACGTACGAGGGGAACGATAACGACGACAAGATTCTCCCGATCGTTTGCTCTTGCTTGCCTGTGAACAGCATCGGCGTGGTGTTAATTGTTTGCCGTTTTCACGATCGCCTCCTGCATGAGAATATCACCAGGTACACTCGCGACATTTTTAAACATTTAGTTGTTCATCATGAGCAACAAGATTGAGGTAACCTCACAAATATCACAGATGAAGTATTTGGTGTTTATTTGCTGTTTTGTTGGTAGCTGCTCCTGAAAAGCAAGTCTACCACACATCTGTTCGACCAACCCCTAAGGAAGCCCGTTTCCGCCACTAAATAAAAACAAAAAAGCTAGTATCCATAACTCGAAATTTCGAGTTATTTTCTCGAAATTTCGAGTTACTTTTCTCAAAATTTCGAGTTAGCTCTGCCAATCAAAAATATACGTGAATGAGGTCGCTTTCTTGTTACCCGGAAGCATATGGCGCAGAGGAACGCGCACTCAAAAACGGATCCCAACAAATTGGCGCTTTCGCGAGTACGTTTGCTGATAGTAACACCATGTGATTCAGCTAATAACACAGGGATTTCATCATTTGTGAAGCCAGGCTGAAAACACTCAGCAATCTGTGCATTCACGACTGGATGTAATACCGGTAGCTTAGCTGTAGCATTTGTAGCTGAGGGCTTCAGCTTCCGGGTAACATGGAAATGACGTCATTCACGTAGATTACTGATTGGCAGCGCTAACTCGAAATTTCGAGTTGCTTTTCTCAAAATTTTGAGTTAATATGTCGAAATTTCGAGAAAATAACTCGAAATTTCGAGATAATAACTCGAAATTTCGAGAAATAACTCGAATTTCGAGAAATAACTCGGAATTTCGAGAAACTAACTCGGAATTCGAGAAAATAACTCGAAATTTTTATTTATGGATCCTTTTTTTTTTTTTAGTGGCGGAAACGGGCTTCCATAAACCCCAGTTAATCTGGAACCGTGGTCATAGCAGCTCATATCAGTGCATATTTACACTCATCACAAATATTTATATTTACTCATCAAATCGTGTGTTTCTAACAGGAGCTGAGTGATGACTTGTATTACAAGATAGCAGCAGAGATGAACCTCTCAGAAACTGCTTTCATCACCAGGATTAATCCCTCTGATAGCTTTACTACAGGTATGTCTGTTTTAATTCAGATCACATTTGGGTTGCCAATTCCAAAGCCTCTTAGATTATAATGCTGTAATGGAAAGCTCCCTTTCAAAAGTATACAGTATGGTGTATGATTCACATACTGTTTAAACTTAAAAGTAGTCCATTAGAGATGGCACGATACCACTTTTTTATGTCCGATACCGATATCATAAATTTGGATATCTGCCGATACCGATATGAATCCGATATAGTGTTTTTTAATCAACAAAACTGTTTTTTTAAAATATCTTGCTGCATTTTGCAAGTCTGCAAGTTCATACTCAAGTTTAAAACAACAACTACACTAAAGCTATTCTGTTATACCTGTATGCAAAAAAAAAAATTTCATAGTTCAGCAATACTGATCAATCTAATAAACTTAAACCTACACCATCATCCCTATTCTGGTATTTTAAAGAGTACTTAGCGTAAATATTAAGCAACCTAACTAATAGGGTTCCAACTCCCAGCAACAACAAAAATAAATAAATAAAAAATAGGGAACCACCCCTCACGCGCCACCTCATGATGCTTAATCGACGTAATCAACCTTAATTTGATGCAGTGTGAAAAAAAATGCACAGAAATCAATTATTTTTCAAGAAATTTTAAATAGATTCAACATCTTTCTTCAACAAAATTGCAGACTGCACAGATGGTACCTTCCCAAAGTAAAAAGTACTATAGCTTACTAGGGTATATATATTAGACTTAATAGTCACTATATACAGTAATTGACTTCTATTCATTTTGCATCAAATTAAAACTTTGGGTGTCAGATAATTATTTATTAAAAGCTCGACATTTTAAATGAGAATAAGAAAGAAAAGTATGTCTTAGGGCATGAACAGTGAAAAGGGGGCACAATCGGCCCCCCTGGCTAAACTTTGCTAGATCCGCCCCTGCACAGTTACCAGCCGTCAGCTACGTAGAAAAAGATCCTGGTGTAGAAAGTAATATTAAATAAATTCTAACAACAGCTTATCAAGCTTAAACGTGCTGCTGTTGTTCAGCCGCTGGTTTGCTCTTTCTGGTGCGAAGTGGGCCAAAAACAAAGACGGACTCGCGACAGAAAAGCTGATCAGCTGATCATTTAAGCAGTTTCACGATTGAAGTACCAGCCGGAGAGCGAGAGGCAGTCGCTCGTTAAGCTTAGCGTGGGAATGCTTTACAAACATTCAGAGATGGACTTACACGCTTGCTTTACTTCTCTCGGGGATAACTTTGTCGGAGATGAAATGCTAGCGGAGATGAAATGCCAGGTTGCTAGCGAAGCTCCACATGCTATCCAGACCACCGACAGGTCCCGCATGCCACAGCTGCTCTATCACGTGATGCAACTGCTCCAACTGCTAACGTTCTGCGGTGAGTTACGGCGTGTTGCAAGTTTTGTGAGGTGCTTTCGTGATATTTAATGGATCGGATTACATTTTTTATTTTTCTCCGATATCCGATCCAGTCATTTAGGTCAGTATCGGACCGATACCGATACGTAATATCGGATCGGTCCATCTCTAGTCCCTATAGGTGCAGGATAGAAATTTTTCAATATGGATTAACAAGTTTGTATGACTTTATAGTTATAAGAATCGTAGTATATCGTATTTGCAGAAAATAAAAAAGACTGAAATAAAATAACAAAAACCTGAAAACCTGAATAACATGACAAGTGAAATAAATGAGTCAAGGAAATTGTATGATAGGAAAAAATGGAGTCACTATTAAAAAAAAAAAGAAGAAGCTGTGAGTAGTGGTGAAGAATTTGCACAGCTGTGAGGCTCTAAGAGAAAATGCCACGTCATTTTGTAATGATGTGAGCTGCAGGAACAGTTAGGAGTGTCTGAATCAAACCAGTGGCTCTGTTAACAAAGTGAGACAACAGACATTTCAGGATCAAAATACAGTTAATTAGAGAAAAATATCTTTAAATCACCATAAAGTCTATTTCATGGCACTTTGTACCTATTGAGAAATGTCATTCATGAAAGGTTAGCCTTCAGCAAAATTAAACTAGTGCCGTCAGGCAGAATTAAGGACCCACAACCCACAACCATAGCAGGAGGTCATTATTTTTCAAGTTTATCTGTTCAATAGCTTATGTTTAGAGAGATCCTATACAGTTAAACACACACAAAGCTGCATTGTACTCACTTTGTGCACAAACTGTCCTCAGCAGTCTGTCAGGTCAAAATGTTACATTGTATGGAGTCCAAAGAACTGTGCAACAAGCTGTCACAGTGAAAAATGCAGTGTGCAGTTGGTCCAAGAGGAATGCAGGTATCATTAACACAAAGACAAAGAAGAAGCAGGAACAGATACAATAAGTTTAACTTCAGACTTAAAAATGTGACTTTTGAAGAATACTCTGAATTATATTTGCTGAGAAAGGAGAAAAAACTGGTTGAGCCCATATTAGAGGGAATTACAATAGTCCATATGTAATAAGATCAAAGCATGTATGACTTTTTAAAGAGTGCCTGATATTTAGATTAAATAAGTAAAAAGTGAACCCAAACCATGACAGTAACAGTTCAGTATTCTTCTTGTAATTTGCCAAAAATATCATCTGGCATTTGCAGTTCTCTGCTCACACACAGATGTTGTAGAGCCATCTCCCACATTTTTTCCTCATCTCCCACAATTTAATGACTTCCAGCTATGAGCAGCTTCTCTAAGGCTACGTCCACACTAGCCCGGATAGATTTGAAAACGGCATTTTCATCTGAAAACGCTCTGCATCCACACTAGCGTCTTAATTCGTTTTCACAGAGTTGTGAAACGGCCGAAAATGCTTACGTTCCAGTACTGTGCATGCGTAAAACGCAAGAAGATTCGACCTACCTCATTTCTATCTGCCGTTTATTTACTTTCCGGCTCTTTGAAACGTTGCGGCAAAATGTTGAGGAAAAACACCAAGTTTTTTTTAAATGGACTAACAATGAGGTGGAGTTGTTGCTGCGAGTAACACAAAAGTACAACGTTGCAAAAGTGAGTGAGAATTAAAGAATGTAGAAACTGATATTAATCTTTAATAGGGCTGTCAAAATTGAGAGCAAACAAAACAACTGCTGTGTAATGCCCTACTCGATCTTTGTTTAATTGGTCACATGACTGCATCATATGAGTAACATGTGCCATCGTTTTTGAAAGTCTGCGTTTTCAGTCCACAGTGCCATGCCAAAGCACCGTCTTCAAATGTATGCGTTTTCGAGAGCGTTTTGAGAACGCTGCGTTTTCCTTCGGGGAAAACGCCGTCTCAGTGTGGACGGGAGGCCAATGATGGTTTCTAAATTATAAGGCTTTTTGTCAATCTTTAACCAATAAATCATTAATTGGACCTTGAAGACCTTTGTGGATGTAAGCCAATCACTAACATTATTATCTACACTGCTTAACTCTGTGTATTTGAAACTAATACCAAAACAAAACTGAAAAAAGTCTTAAATGTGTGATTAACAGGATCAAGATTCCGCCTTCGATGGTTTACACCAACTACTGAAGTAGACCTGTGCGGTCATGCCACTCTGGCCTCTGCAGCAGTGCTATTCCAACACATCAGTAAGATGCAACATTTGCACATAAAAAGGTTTTTCAAAAAACAAAAAAGTGACATCATGGTGCACTAGAAAAGGCCGCTGGAGCTATTTTAAAAGATGCCTGTAATGCACAATGCAGCTGACTGCAAGAAGGAGCAAAGAGGTGCCAGCATGTAACCATGTAATGGATTTTTTTCCTTCAGAAAATGTAAATCCCACCCTGGTGTTTGAGACCAAAAGTGGAGATCTTTCCGTCACCCAGAAGGAGGAAGGGTACATCATGGACTTTCCTCTGAATCCCCCCACCAGAGTGGTAAAATAAACTTTTCCTGTTTAGTTACATGAACAATTTAATCAGATCCTGTAATGTAAAAAAACGAGTTCTTGTGTTTCATTAACAGTGTATAAAATGGCTTTCTTTCTGAACTCCCTTTATTTCAGGATCCCAACGACTTCAAAGACACCATCAAGGTCAGAAATCACATTTTTCTGAACAGTTTGTGAAAGTGTAACTACATTCCTGTGTGTGTGTTCAGCTAAGTCTCTGCCTTTTACATGTGTGACACAGGCGGCAGTCGGAAACCTCCCGGTTCAGGAAGTTTTATTTTGCTACAACACCAAGAAGCTGCTGATTCGACTGGCTGACAGCTGTGACATGTTGGTTAAAAAACACTTTGCTTGTTGCCAAATTCAAAGGAATCTCAATAGTGGTCCTACTGTTCATGAGATCTTAAACATTTGTTCAGCAACAACAATCAATTATATTTCTCAGGTGCCCGGCTAGTGGGGCTTATTCATATGTTTAAAGCCCAAACAAATAATCAAGCAACTGGCCTTCTACACCCACTCATCACGTTTTAGTAAATGTATATGTGCTTTTTGTGTATTATCTCCAGCTCTGCGCTTACCGATCTGAAAGTTGACACTGTGGCTCTTGAGAATACTGAGAGAAGTGGAAGATTCTGCGCCGTCATCATCACTATGAAAGGTAATCAGAGCTGTGCGTTTCGTAGAGTTGTAGACTTGCTGGATCGGACCACATGTAGTAATTCCATTAAAATGAAGACGTAACAGTAAGGAATAAACCAGAGGAAACCCAACATGAAGTGTTTAAGCGAGGTGTGGTCCCACCATGTACCATCAGAAAAGCTTCAATGGACCTCTGTTAGAGGGATGAACAGCACTCTGCCAAAAACATTCCCTCATTTGGTGTTTTAATGATGATGGTGATGAAGAGCACAGTCTATGATTCCACTCATAATATAGGCCAGGGGTCCCCAATCCCAGTCCACGAGGGCCGGTGTCCCTGCAGGGTTTAGATTTGTCCTTGATCCAACACTGCTGATTTAAAGGTTAACTGACCTCCTCAACATGTCTTGAAGTTCTCCAGAGGCCTGGTAATGAACTAATCATGTGATTCAGGTGTGTTGACCCAGGGTGAGATCTAAAACCTGCAGGGACACCGGCCCTCGTGGACTGGGATTGGGGACCCCTGATATAGGCCTTCACTTGGGTTGAGCTCTGGGGAAATGTTTGATCACAGGACAAATGGTGCGCCGATTTCTCCTTTGCCGTCACCATCCTGTGGACTCGTTTGTTGCCCATTTTAATTTGTATAACAACATTCACTGAATGTTTCTGCCAACAAACATTACATATCAAACACTGCTAACATGTGGAAACAGGATCACCTGACTGCCAGCCACGATATGACTTCTACTCGAGAGACTTTTCTCCATGGTTTGGCGTCCCTGAGGATCCTGTCACTGGTAAGATGGTTGCTCTTTACTAGTATGTAATCTATAGACATTATTTCTCAAATAACATAATTCTGACCATGTTTGTGTGTCTAAAAACGTTTACATATAAGCAGCTGGACTAAAGTGATTAAAGAGGATGCATTTACAGGTGTCTTATTACTGAGAGAAAGTGTTAAGCTATTCCTGCTATGCATTCTTTGTTCTGGCAGGCTCTAACCACACAATCCTAGGTAGCTACTGGTCTGAAAAACTAGGAAAGAAGAAAATGCTGGGTACGTATTTGAACCTTCTCCGCCTTTTACTAATGTGTCATTTATCTGATAACAGATGTTGTGTTCCACTTTTATCCATAATTAACCTGCTTATTGTGTCTGTGCAGCTTACCAGTGCTCCAGTCGTGGTGGCGAGCTGGAACTTGAACTGAGGGATGATGGAAGAATCAACATAGCTGGACAGGCCATCACTATTCTGCAGGGAACAATCAAACTGTAGACTGAGACACATCCAAGAAGACGGCGTCTGATGTTCTATCATAACCATTGTGCCCCTGCAGATAGACACTTTATGGCTCTTGTTTAAAAATTAGATGGCTAAAATAAAAAGAAAAAACGCACTCAAGTCCTGACTGTTCTATCCTGAAATGATTCAGCTAACATAGCTTTGTTACGCTCATTCATTACAGCAAAAAAAATTACAACCAAAAGATTTTAAAATGATAAAAACAGAAACACAAGAACACAGCAGGTAAAATCCGAAGAGTCACGATTAGCCTTGTGGTCAGGAGAATTTTTAACATTTGCTACTTAATAATGAATGGGGTTCAATAAAATGAAGTACAGCTGATATGGACTAAACTAAAAAAATGATACTGCAGATTCGTTTTGATCCTAAATAACGTGTACATATTCCTGAAATTAAAAGTCATCATGATGACATGTTTGTTTGTTTTGTTTTTTTTGTATAATCTGTTCCTGCACAGATGTAGTTCTGCCGATCTGGTTTTTACTGACAAAATAATGGAATAAACTTGAGGCCCACTGACATAGTTAAGTTCTTTTAAAGTTGACATTTCTGGTTACATACTATAGCTCTATCATAGGAAACAGGAAATGGCACTACACCTAGAGCTGGAGAATGTTAACTTTTTTCACATACAGACGATGATGGATGTTGTCATGTCTTTTTAGTTTGTTTTTATGCTAAAGACGGCGCGTTTCACACTGCCCGCAAACTTGCACAGGTATGTTCTCGCGAGGTTATAAACGTTGATTTGTTCTAGTGTTTTTATAGTGACCTCCCACCGGCAGGGGCGCTCTTTCACATCACAAGACCGTGCTGGTAGAGCACGCGAAAGGAAACCCGCCATTGAAGACGTCTCACAACGTGAGAGTTTCGTTGTGGTGCACTCTTTTAACAAAAGGTGCAATTTTTTTCAGCATATACCTACAGCTGATAATTAGTTGGAGGAATGGCATACAGAGGACAAGGACAGAAGGTCCAGAAGGTTATGGTGCAGCCCATTGTATCCTTTTGTATTGCAGGACGACACTGCGCGGTTGAATTGGTTGCTACAATAGCTTAGCAGCTAGGCTAACATTTAGTCATTCGTAAACATTTGTAGTCACTCATGTGAGGAGAGGAGTTTTACAAGGCTTGTAAGCTTTTGTGAAGACCAGTTTCACCCAAAGAAGTCGCGCGGGTATGAAATATGTTTGCAGAAAAAAAATGTGTTTTATTGAAATGCAGTCAGAAAGCCAGTGTATAGACTTAGCCGCGTTAATCCCGGGAAAACACCGGCTCTGTGGTTCCGTGTTATAGCTAAACGCAAAAGAGGCTAATTTCTGCCTTCAAACTACTCAATATGATACCATATGGAGGGTTTTAGGCCCACCAATCGATAGTTATTAACACCAAAATATAATATGATGTGGGAGAGTGAGGAAGTTACGGAATACTTACCTAACGAAAGTGTTTTGACAGTTAATAGCTATAAAACTGGAATTACTTTCATCTTCTCAAATATTTTAAAAATATTTAATTGTTAGTGAAACTTGGTAGTGTTTTCTTTGATTTGCTATCGATCCACGTTTACATGGTCTCTTATGGGAATGCCAGCAACTGATATTACTGCTAATATGATGTAAGAATTACCTAAACCTAAAATAATGACAAAAATAAATGTAACTATATTTTAATTATTTGTTGAACAGATTTTTATTTACAAAAGGATCAGGGGAAAATAAAGTTTGCCCTCAAGATATGAAGCCGAAAAGCCAATTTTAAGCCAGGAAGAACCCCTGACCCAAACTGACTCTGAATCACTTCCAATAACTTGGACTAAATGCAAATATAACCATTAACAACATATGTGCACATTTTAACTATAAACATGTTGAACTTGAGTCTGTGTGTATGTCCTTGACTGTGGTTGTCAGAATCTCATTTTCAGGTACCTGCAAAATGTAAGTAGCTTTTAACTTTTTCGTGCATCCTTCTGATTAGTTTTGTTTTCTGGTAATTTTGAAGATAAAACTGTATTCAGTTTATTCTCTCTCTCATTCCCAGCGCTCACGGATCCAGGTTTGGTTGTATGAACAGGTGAACATGCGGATAGAAGGCTGCATTATCGTAAGTAACATACAACCTTTCTCCATGTTCTTGGTCAGTTTATAAAGCTTGATGTTGATGGGCAGTGTGGAAACCCCTCTTAGCCCTACGTCGTAACCTTCCAGGCCAGTCAGTTGTGGCGGGCTGCTTTGACCTGGCAGGCAGATTCCTCAGGAGGTGCGCGTCAGGTTATGTGGAAGGTTATGGCATAGGGTTAAAGGGAATTTCTGATTATGTTGTAAGCTACAATGCAGATTTCCTACTGAAGCATAATCTGAGCCTCAGTAACCACCCTCTGTAACACACGTTCAAATGTGTCCAGTTGGCAGCCAGTCACAGAGCCAGCCTTCCTGATCAGTTTATCCACTTATTTGGTGTCACAGTGTATCTTCTTGTATACAGCCTCAACCTTAGTCTTCCAGTTCAGCCTGTTGTCAGTGTGGATGACCAGGTACTTGTCCTCCTCCTCCACATTAGCATCCTGTCCCAGGATAGACAGAGGTGGTATAGCCACCCATTTTCTTCTGTCAGTCTGTCATCTCTGTGGTCCTATTCACATTCAGAAACAGCTGATTCCTCTCTGACAACTCCACCAAATCATCCATTAGTGCTCTGTACTCATTCTGCCCATCATTGATGCATCTGACCACTGCAGAATTATTGGTTTTGTGGTAAGTAAGGTCTGCAAGGTGAACAGGAGTGGAGATGGCTCAGTTCCCTGTGGAGCTCCTGTACCATGTCATCATTTTGACACCGAGCACTGCCCAGTTTTACATACTGTTTACTCGCATTCCCTTTAGCCTTCTCTAAGTAGCAGTGGCTGAAATGTTTTATACGCACCAAAGAAATCAAAGAAGTCATCTTCACCATGTGCGTGTTGCTATCTAGATAGAAATAAGCTCTCACTGGGAACAAACCTTTGTCACTTGCTGTTCCCCGTATGGCCACATTATATCCTAGTATGGCTTAAAATGATTTGGTCTAACTTGAAATGGCCTGATCTATGAGTAGCATTTCCACTCAGGCTGAACTTTCTGTGAGATCAGGCATGTACAAGTTCTAGTTAAACCAATGTGACTCACTTTTGTTGTCTTGTGTCTCATTGCCTTAGGGTTTCGATGAGTACATGAATCTGGTTCTAGATGATGCTGAGGAAGTCCACATGAAGACTAAGAACAGAAAACCATTGGGTAAGAGTGCATCACTTTTTGTAAAGCTGTTTTATTATTTTACTTTACTTTATTTACTAGGGGTGGGGGGAAAAATCGATACTGTGTAGTATCGTGATATTTTGTTTGCTAATAATGTATTGATACAGGGACAGCAGAAATCGATATTTTGTTACAAAAAAGGTTTTTGTGCTCTGACTTCAGAGCATGTTGATCCTTTTTCTGAGCAAGAATCCTGACATTCCTTCACTGTCCAAATGTGTTTAACTTTTTTTGGCAGCAATAAACATGACAGTTTACTTATTTTAATTTAAGACATGTTTTATTTTAATTAAGTTTAAAACTTTTTTATTTAATGTAAAATTATATTTTGTTTTAATTTACTTTCAAATTCTTCTGTTGCTGAATGGGCTGCATAGTTTTCATTAATAATAATAATAATAATAAATAAAATTGCAATAATATCGTATCGTGCGTTAAGTATTGTGATAATATCGTATTGTGGGATGTATGGTGATTCCCACCTCTATTATTTACTTTATTTTACTTTATTATTTTTAGGAAGGTTGACTGTAAAAGGTAAGAATGAAGAAAAATTGTGTGTCATCAAGACATTGTTGTTTCTCGGGGATTTTTGAAAAACAATTGTCCTGCATATCCCAGAAACTGCAAACCCAATTCTGAAAATGTTGGGATGCTATGTAAAGTGTAATTAAAAACACTTACAGTGATTTGAAACAAAGAAGCAAAATACAAGCATACAACACGTGTAAGAATTTCAAGACAATCGTCAGTCTGCTTTGGTGCATTTTCTGTTTCGTGACGTACTAAATGTTTTCAAATGTTGAAAGTGCAGGTCAATTCTGCAGCTGGACTCTGCTGCTACGAAGCCATGCTGTTTTAATAGCTGTGCTATGCGGTCTAGCGTTGTCTTGACGTCATCGGGATTATATATATAAATGTTGTTCTAAAGTCTGTATACAACGTTCAGCACTGCTGTCTTTCCACACCTGCAAACTGTCAATTCCATAGGCATAAATCCACCATCGGAGATGCAGGCTTATGAACTGAACACTGATAATAAGGCAGATGGTCCCCCTCTTTAGTCCAGAGTTCATTTTTTCCAAAAATCTTGAATCATCTGATCACAGATCAGTTTTCCTCTTTTTCTCAGTTCATTTTGAATGAACTTTGGCCCAGACTGGAATTTCTGGATCATGTTCACATATGGCTTTCAACCTGCATTTGTGGATGGCACAGTGAGCTGTGTTCACAGACACTGATTTCCATAACAGAATCATAACAAATTTCCCACGTGTGGGACTAATAAAGGTTGTCTTATCTTATGTCTGATTTTAACGCAGTGCTGCCTGAGGACCTGACCATAGGTGTCTATATATATATATACATACAAACAAGTCATTTTATTCTGTTTTTAATTTACAATTTACACAGCATCACAACTTATTTGCAGTTGGGATTGTAAATGAAATCAACTCTTGGATTTTTGTGTGTGTGTTTGTTGGGGACTGTAGGTGGTTGGTGAGGATTGCTCTGTTGTTGCATCATGCCCCTGGCTACTGATCCACTTTATACTGATGTTAGATTTCACATTACCTTTACCCAGCGTTGATGGGGGCATGGTGCTTTGTCTGAAAGTGAACAGACACTTTGTGCCTCCCCTTGTCCAGCATCTGGCAGTTCTGTTCTAATTTAGCTTTGATCTCTCCTTCATTCTTTTCTGTGTTGCCCAGGGAGGATCATGTTGAAGGGAGACAACATTACCTTGCTGCAGAGTGTGTCCAACTGAGGCGAGAATGGAGATGTCTACAAACTTCAACTTTTGTAGAAGAAATTGGTTTTTGTTTTTCTTCAGAGATTAAGTGTTTGTGTTTATGACATGAATATTGTAATTGTTTCTTTCTACCACATGGATCTGTTTGGAGAATAAAGGTTTTTCTTTTTCTTACAGTTCTCTGTTAACTTTTTAGTGTTTCAGACTCTAGATGTGTTTTGGTTTAATGGACTGTGCTGCCGTCTAGTGGCAGACAGAACTATTGCAGTGCACGTATATAGGTCAAATGCACTGCAGCGGCGCAGTTGCATTTAATACGTCTGTCTTGTAAGTGCAGGCGTTATTGTGTGTGAAATACAGAAAATGAACATGTGCTTCCTTGTGTAACTTTTCTATGCTGTACATAGTATGAAAGCAGAACTGCTACAAAGAAAATTAGGGCAGAACTTGGGTGCATGCCCAAATTATGAGTGCAGACTTCTTAATGTATATGTACGTTTTGTAAGTCGTGTATAGCTTGTTTATTTTACTAAATGCAGGGAGAATATAAATTGAAACAAATTAGACAATGTACTTTATACAGTAAATGCTGTATCTACTGGTCTGATTAGCAAACGACACAGATGCTGTGAATGTTGATCTTGAATGTTATGTTGAAAAGTTATAAAATCAGGTTATTAATTTACTGGAACCACATTGTATTATTGGTTTAAACAATAATACAATTTTAGCTTTTGGCCTCAGAAAATGAGCCTTAATGTAGGCAAATTGATTAACGTAATTACGTAGTTAGTCGCTACGCAACTCAACGTGTCCCTGTTCTGTTGACTGGGAAACCCCTAGCGCGGAGCTGCCAACGCCCGGCGTAAAGACACAAATAGAGGATACGGTATGGAAATTTTTTGCTCGTTTCTTATTACTATTTATTCTTTTGGCTAATGTTTAGGTCTAACTCTTGTCACTTTACTGTATAATATGAATTCCTAACACTGATTGTAATCAGCAGTTTATCAGTCTCATTCAGCAACAGCATCCGCTAAGCTTAGCACAGCTCGTTAGCTCGCAAGCTAATTGGGGAGGACAGTAGTTAGCTAGCGAAACAGGCAGGGTGTCTATCGTTAGACCGGTGTGTAAATCGAGCTCCTGGAGTTACTCATAAAGAACATGCAAGTTTCTTAATTGGTGGTTCTGATGTTGTAATGATAAAATAAAACACCTCTTTGTTATTAAGATAAGTTGGTGACGAACCTGAGAATTGACTAGTTACGGTACGCGGTAAGTGGGTTAACAAACAGAATAAACGAGCATAACAAGAGTTTGGTTAAGTTGTGATTTTGTAGACAGCATAGTCCCATCGTATAGATGGAAAGCGTAATGTCTGGGTACTAAGGAAAAGATTCATAACACTGACCCTGTAAAAATAGGGGATCAGTTGTAAGTTTATCGTTTTAACAGCGGGCAGGAAATTAGGCCAGACTGAGGCCGAGGATGTGGCCGAAATATATGGCTAATGCTACCAAGCTAACAGATCTTTAAGTGGTAGTTATCTCTCAAGTGTGAGGTAAAATGTTCCATAATAGGATATTTACATGCTGATCCTAACAGCTTGGCACACCACTCGCGGCTGCGTAGTTAAACATGTTATAAACTCAACGGAAGACAGTCTAGTTTGAGATTTCGGGTCGGTGATGTCAATCATACACATGATTGAGGTCTGTTTTTGTCAAGAATCAGAGGGTAACATTCTTTCCCCCCAACTTGCGGAAGTACGTACATGTATCAGTGGAAATTATTAGGAAGTTATGACCAATCCTTAAGGAAATACCTCCAACGTAACGATCATTACCGGTTTGTGTTTAAATGTACTGATATTTGATCATGTAGATGACATAAGTGTCTGCTTTAAAATAAATCCACACTGCTCAGAGGATTAGCTGACCCGAACATACAAAATCGCAAATTATACAGAGTCCATTTCAGTATGGCAGCTAAATATTTGGAAACTGTTATCAGGCTCAGTTGAGCCGCTTTCGCTATTAGTATTTAAGCAGGGCTGCAGTTAGTGCTGGCTGGCCTACAAACACAAATGTGAGGATTAAGTCTGGCGGCATTAATGCAGCTGCAGTCATCCTTTGGTGGCCATTGCCGTTGGCTTACTACATTGTTACACTTAGATTTATATTTTTTACTTTTACAAGATGAGTTGAGATTTTTATTCAGATTGATGGGACACACAGTAAAATACTTGTGTTCATACACTACTGTGTTTCATGGATGTCACGGTGTTCATTGTACAGTGAAATTGACCATGTATTCACCAACCAAAGAATTGCTGAAGACAGTGGCACTTTCTCTTAGTCAGTAATTAGTTGACTTGGTCCTAAGGCACAGTTCTCCTTGATGATGTGCGTTGGAATGTTGTCGATAAGTGTTATGCTTGATTCATCTGCCAACATCTGTAATAACAGTGTTCTTGGTTTTCGGAGACAGAAATCTGTCAGTTTGTTGATAAACCAGTGGTGTGTACTCTAAGTGGACTAGAACATGATCAGATAGCGCCTGCTACTTGTCCATGGTGTCTGCAGCAGTTTGCACGTACATCTACGCAGGAGTGTAATCCCAGCCAAATGGAGTGTCTTCACTTTTAGGATCAAGATGAGGCATAATGCAGTTGCTTTATATATTGATTTTTTGGGATCAACCTTTGTAACAAATGTACTCTGATTAATCAAGTTTTGCATGTCTGTTTGACCTTACAAGTCTGTGCATTTTCCTGTTATTATTGTATGTGTTTTTACAAAATGATTTAAACTTGAAAAAAATCAAAGCCAACTTAGTCTCTGTTTTTTAGTCTTGTGTCCTGGTGATTTTACTTTGAAAGGCCAGACTCTTTTTGGTGGCACCAAATTTTTGTTTATACTGAGAAAACTGCTGTGTAGCATTGTGACACACATGAAACGGTTATCACAACATTAACAAATTCACATGAACAGACAAGCATTTATAGTTCAGCATTACAATTCAGTATTTTCAGGCAATGTACGTCTGGTCAATTTTTTTGTTTTTACATATTATTTTTTACATATTATTCACATTATTCACATTATTTTATAAAATCCCTCCTAAAAGAACTGCCCTGTATTGCATCACACCTGGAGAATTTCCAGCCGGAGGCGCCCATTGTTCAGTTTCCGGTAATGCTAGCTGCTCATATGATGCACTTGCGGTAATGGGTAAGCTCCATTAGCACGTACAGCTCCATTCAATTAGATATTTAACAGCTGTAATTGTGTTAAACATTGTTGTATTATAACAACATACTGGATAGAAACATGTTGTATTTTGTGATGAGGTTTTTGTTAATAAGGGGAGATTTGACTTGTGCTCAGAAAATGGTACACGTGTGGGGAAATGATTTTTGGTTTAGAAATGTTCATTATTAGAAGTGGACAACTTCATTTGATTGTGCTCTAATTGCTGGAATAAATCATTAAAGACTTACAAGGCATTTTAAACAATGACATATGCATTAGACATATGCAGTGGCATAGTGGTAGAAATCACATAAATCTGTAGCAGGTATTGCACTGATGATGACAGGGAAAAAAAACTTACAGGTCTAATGTAAAAGCCTTTTTTGAAAAGGAGTGGTATGTTTGGTGCCTGCAGTTTTGTCCCTCATGCTTCTCTCAATGACATCCCCACCCCCACACTGTGCTGCAGAGCTCTGCAGTGGCTTAGCACTGACAGACTGTAACTTACAGAGGAGAAATGGGGGAACAGTGTTGCTTGTGTACTACATACAGTGCGTTGTCTCTAAAATCAGGCACACACTGAACAATGTTGTCAGACCAAGAAAATACTGCTGTGACGTTATACACTACTTACCAAGAAACATGGAAAGACAGACAGCTTTAGAAATAAAAGCAAAAAAGACGAGCAGATGAAGTCAAGCAAAAGCTGTAGTTAAAGCTATACATAGTCATTTAGAAGTGGTTTGAGATGGATGATGATTGTTGAAGAACCATCAAATGACTGTCAATGAATATTGAATAGTTCTTTTGGTTGAGATTCCCATCCCTACGTAGAACGTGATATTATATATCTACGATAGCCTAATATATCAGGAGTGCCTCAACCTCCTATATGCCTGTCAGTGACTCAGTTAGCATAACAGCAAAGCATCAGCCCCATCAATTAATTTTCTTTGTTGGCTTAGTCTGGTTCCTTTTCATAAATCACTTGTTGGTAAGTTTTTATTTCACTTAAAGTTACATAACAAATTGTTTCCTAGTCGAGTCTTCCTGTCCTCATTTTTATGCGCACTGTCTGCTCTACTCTTAGTGTGTTAGTGGGTGCAAACAAAGTGAAACTGAGAGCGGAGGAAAATGCAAATTAGAATGGCCATAATGGCAACAAGTGAAGAATTCACACTAAGCTGGAAGAAAAGTAGTGCAAATACATTAGCTTAATAACATATATATAATGAGCCCGTGTGCATCCTGTAATGTGGACGTTCTGACATGTTAATATGTGTATTGGTTTCAACAATAAAACACGTCAGTGTAGGTAGAGCCTTGGTGGTGTTCCTACTGGCTCACTATCACAACTGAATAGAACAGATTTGTTGTTTCTTTTATTTGTGCAATTTGAGCTTTTCTTGTGATAACAGTCAGAAAGAACTTTGTAGGTTAGCTTTACTCTTGGAGTTGTGTTCACATCTACACTACATTCATGTTTGATGTTTTAGTTTCTAATTTTGTATAACAAATTAAAACAAATAAAATAAGATCATGAAGCCACCATTAGTGTTTTTGAGCCTGATCTGTTTCTTGGGCCATATGGGGAAGAGAGACTGCGCCAGCTGATGTTTTCCCTTTTTTCCCAAATTTCCTTTCATGTTTCCTTCCTTCATTTGTGTGAAGCAGGCCTGTGCTGTGTCCAGTTGTTAAGCTGTACTGACCCTCATTCCATTAACTGTAAAAAGCTCATTGGAGCCTTTCCAGTTTAATTCCCGTACTTAGTGGAGGTTACTGGTTTTCACTTCACTTCCTGTGGCAAGTAAATCACGATTTGTAGTCAGAGTTTAGGTAAAAAGTTCTTAACCAACATTTTGTCTTTTACAAATAATGAAAAATGCCATCTGGTACTCAGCTTACAAAAAAATGGCTAGTCCTTGGTCCATGCATTTTTCTCCTAATATGAGCTCACCTCAAACAAAATGCTCCTATCAGAAGTCCACATGTATAATGTAGAGTAAAATAATAATGATCAAAGATGATATTTTTAAATTTATCTGTGGTATGTCTGTGAAAGTTGTTCAGCCAAAAAGTAAATTATTAAATGTGCCTCTTTTCTTTTCCAGATCTTGAATGAGTAGCAAAGACTGTAACACACAGCTATGCAGACCATTAAGTGTGTTGTAGTTGGTGATGGTGCCGTGGGTAAAACCTGCCTGCTCATCTCTTACACCACAAACAAGTTTCCCTCTGAATATGTACCTACGGTAAGTGCGTCAATCTCTACATTAGATTTTAAATGTTTTAGTTACCACATGTTCAGCGAACCACACGCACGTGAGTTTATATTTGCTTGTTGCACAATTTACAGAAGATTCAGCTGGAGTTTGGAGTTTGAGTACATACAATGCTGTTTGCATGTTTCCGTTGATCCTGCAGAGGTCTGAACAGGATGTTTGCTATTGTTGACTAATTGGCCTTGACCACTAAGTACGTGATCAAAGTTGTGTTCTGTATGCAGCTTTACAAACACACAATCAGGTCGAAGAACCTGCTGGAATATGGTTTATTTGAAGGATGTTGAATAAGAGTAATAGACGAGCAATTTGAATATATTATTTCTCAGCTCTGTAGTGTAAATAAATGTGTCTATAACTGTATCTTTAGTTCTATTGTGTTATGAGTGGCTGAGCTGATTTTGGTCTGTGTGTTGCAGGTGTTTGATAACTATGCTGTAACTGTAATGATTGGAGGTGAGCCCTACACTCTGGGCTTGTTTGATACAGCAGGTATGTTACATTTCACTTTCTATTATAAAGTAGGAATCATGCTTTCAGAAGCAGCTTGTCTGTCTTCACACTGCAGCCACAGGGGAGCTTTAGTAAATGTAGAGTTTGTGTGATGTTTTCTTTCAGTCAGAGTTGTGCTTTCTGTTTTTGTTGCTCAGCCTCTGTTGGCTTACGTGCCGACCAAACAATCGAGTTAAATATAATTTTTGTGTGGCTTCTCCAGGTCAGGAAGATTACGACAGGTTACGACCTCTGAGTTATCCCCAGACAGATGTCTTCCTCGTCTGTTTCTCTGTCGTGTCCCCATCCTCCTTTGAAAATGTCAAAGAAAAGGTAAGTGTGACCTGCTCATTTTGGTGTTTTTCTGTTAGTGTAAAAATGAACATGTTGTAACAGTTTGTTTCATACTGTGTAATATATACTGAATATTGTTTATTTTGTAAAAATGATGAATTATGGGTTGCTCAAATTTTACTGGCAGGTACAGTACTAATTAGCCATTTGGTACAAAAAGCCAGAGGGAAGGGAACTTGGTTAAAAATGCAGTGCTTGTCTGAGGATGCAAATGCCTTAAAAAAGGGTTAAAATAAAGGGCTCTCTTCAAATTTTTAAAATAAAATTAACATTTTCCTAATTTTGTTTAATAAGAAAACCCCCCGGTATTCCGCACATGTGTGGTATTGTGCTGACTCTTGTATTTGTCCATTTAGTGGGTTCCCGAGATCACCCACCACTGTCCAAAGACGCCCTTCCTTCTAGTTGGGACTCAGATCGACTTGCGAGATGATCCCTCCACTATAGAGAAGCTGGCTAAGAACAAGCAAAAGCCCATTACTCCGGAGACAGCCGAGAAGCTGGCAAGAGATCTCAAGGCTGTGAAATATGTGGAGTGCTCAGCCCTCACACAGGTACTGTATATACTCGGATATAAAAGATTTACAGTCACACACGCACACTCTCAGAGACGAGTATGATGGGTACTTCAGTGGCAAGAACTAAGAAAGTGGAGGAAAGAGGAACATGCCTGTACCCCCACTGTCCTGTGCATGTTTGTTCTGCATGCTGGTTTGATCTTGGTAATTGATGTACCTTGTGGGTTCACTGATGTTGCTAGTTGGAAATGATCCTTGCTACAGTAAGCAGACCTTCATTTAGGTAAACTGTTACTTATTCAGCTGCACTGGTCTTGAGCATAGTCACATGGTAGATTAGCCAACTTTTCTTAACAGTGGGGTGGATTTTAAGCAAATGCACTAAATGTTAGAGTTTAGGATTCTGGGTGAGCAGACCTAAAGCGATTAAAGCGTAGGAAGGAGAGAGTTCATGTTTTGCAAACCTCTCCAGTATATGTGCTTGTTAAAGCCTGTGGGCTTTACACCACATCATGGAGCAGCAATCGCTCCTGGGATCAGCTGATGGTGTTTGCAGTAATAGAACAGGCACAAACACATTATTGTGTCAGCATTTTGACCAAATGGCAAAGTAAAATGTTTCTAGTTTATGAAGGCAAACCTGCTGCTAGTTAGTTGTTTGTTTGTTTGGTTTTTTTGCACTGTTTCTAAAGAGGACCAAAGGTAGACAGTGGGCTTCGTGTCAAATTTAGGAGCGTTTGACTTCTCTGTGGTAGATTTAATGTTGTATTATTGAGTGCTTGTGTTGACTAAATCAGTCAGTGCCTTTAAAGGCTTTACCTGCTCAGTTATGTCCCGAGTTTGTTTGTGTTGGCGTAACTGTTAGAAACTGAAGCACAGTAAGCATGACTCAGAGGAGAGCAGGTGACTTGGATCTCTGATTCTGAACAATAGTGTTGATAAAGCTGGGGTGCCCCCACCTCCCTGCTCTGCTCCTTCCTTCCTGTACTCCCCTCTATCTCACTGGCACAAAAGTTGCATAGCTGCTGATGTCATTTCCTGTTTCCTGTTGGGAATCTCAACACCCAGGTCCCCAGCTCACTTTCAGCCCCCTGTTAAACAACTTCCTTGTCTTCATTCAGTGTTGACACGGCTGCACGGCACTCCTCGTCTTTATGCTATGAAACCTTCCTCCTCACTCTGCCATGTTCCTCTTCTTCTCCTCCTCTTCTTTGGTCTCTCTCTCTGTGTTTGCTCTGCTAATTGCACTCTTGTTCTCTTCCCTCTCTTCCTGTCGTCATAGCGAGGGCTGAAGAATGTTTTTGACGAAGCTATCCTAGCTGCCCTAGAGCCGCCTGAGACGCAAAGAAAGAGGAAATGTTGTTTATTTTAAACTTTCTGTGCCACATCGCTCATCTCTTCTTCCTGTCATTGCTGTTTATCCATTTTTCGTTCCCTTGCTCCACTTCTCTCCTCCTTCCCATTTTCTCTCTCTCTCTCTCTCTCTCTCTCTCTCTCTGCATTTGCTGCTTAAAACTCTCATCTGTCTCAATCTCAGCCATCTATTAACAGATCCACCAGTTTGATACTCACACTGCTGCTCTACTCTGCATCAAGATTGCGTTTCTCATCTTTGTTCTGTGGCTTGTTAAACTAACCAGAGGCCTTTCTGCACTTAAAAATACTTGTTGCCTTTTCTAATTTGGTTTACTCGGCATCATATCTTCATATTTTTCTTCTGGATTAGTGTTACCACCTGCATCATTTCACATCCTAATTCTTGGACCACTCTGTGTCTTAAACTGTTTTCACACATGAACTCTGGACAGTCAAACACAGTTGTCCTTTCTGGAAGGATAAATTCTGCACACAGATACCTCCTTCATTCTAACATGGACTTAAACGCCACCACGCCTCTGAATTGAACTCATTCTAAAAGATGAGATTAAACATTATTGTGTGTGTATTTAAGAGCCACTGAAAATTGATCGCAGTCAGTGACCACATTTTTTTAAACGTGTTACTTTCTGTAGTTTATAGTGCTCCAGACACATAATGTTAGGGTGCTGAATGTAGTAGCACCAGCAGTCTTCTTTCCTTTTTAAAATACAAATGGAAAAAGAATAGAGCAAAACTAGCTAGAAAATACAAACTGTAAGAACTCACACATCTGTGCAGTGCTGTTTACTCACTGCTGTCTGTAGGCTGTTGACACAGTCTGCAGACAACTTTCCACTCTCTATGTCAGAGTGCTACAGGTCATCTGTTTTACTTTCCACATTGTTTGTTTGTAATTTCAAATTAAAGAGAAAGCAGAAATAAGCCTAACACCAATATTAAAATCATACAATAATAAAATGTGAATAAATAGCACAGCAAGAGCAGCAGCTGTGTACATTGACAGTCATTCACACACTGTGTTGAAACAGCCGGGTCGGTAAAGCTGGTTCATTGTGACACCGTCTGAAAGGTTCGTGTGTGAAAACGTCTTGAGTTTAGCTTATTAACAAGACCTGTGTCTAACAATAGGTGGCTAGTGTCTAGAAGGATACATCCTTTGTTTGGGATGGTCCTCGACTCTTCTCTCTGCTCTGTGCGAGTAGTAGTCGGTGTGAAGGTGGTGGCTTTACAGGCTGAGATTGAGCTTACACTCAACAGAGCTTCCATTTCTAATGCTAAAGTATTTTTTATACTTCTACAGTTATGTTTAATTTATCAGAATCTGAAGTGTGACTGTGGTTTCTCACGCAGGGCTTTTAACTGCTCAAGTCACCTATGGGAGTGTCTGACCTCAGCAGACATTGCTATATGCTGGTGTCATGGTACTCTCATTGATCTATTTTATAGCTAAGCCACACTTGATGATACTTGCAAGCCGTGTTTAGTGACTTATTTCGCTTTCTCTACATATAACATCAGTGTGCCATTACCTGTGGTACAGATTGTGTTGTATTAGAAGTCTATATAATAATAAAAGCTATAATTGTGTGAAATGACTTGTGAACTGAATTAATAAAGGACAACTTAACTTGCGCTCATCTGGCTTCCGTCTTTTTTCAGTGCCGTGTCAGAAGAATTTAGTAGTTTGGTCAGCTGAGATAGGCAACGCAGTGCAGCTCTGGTTACCTCACATGACTGAGCTCATGACGTAAGCAGTTCTGCTCGGGTTAATACAAAGGTTCCCCTCTTGCACTCGGCAAGTGCTTGATTGTGGTCATGTGTTTGGAATATGAACCAGTGAAGTCAAGAAAAAGTTCTTGTTTGCCGTTGTAATGTCAAGGGTTATGTCCTGTTTTTCCTCCACTTGCTTGTTTGACTTGCCTTTGATTTCGGCTGTCTCAGGTCAGCTGCACTTTTCAGACATGCATGTGATTTGTGTTGTTGCCACTTAATCCCTGATCTGGCTTACACCACTGAAAACACCACAAGACATCGTTTCCCACACACAGACTTTACTTGGGAGGGTACTCCAGGGATGCTGATGGCTAACTAAGTATAGTGTGCAACTTATTTTTTATTTACAGTGTGATCGATTTAGTCACTGCTAAGCATGTAGACTAATAATATAAATTCTGTAATGCAATTGTTTGGTTCCGCAGTCAGATAAACTCCAACTAAACTATGCTGGACTGCAGCTGGTCAAAGTAGACTTTATTCTACTTAAAAGATGTGCTTTAAGGAGTTTAATGTAGAGGCAGCAATATTTGCGTATTATTGTCACAGAGAATGTGTGCTATTATTTTAAAAAGCACGGGTGCACCTTCTGTGTCATTTGTCTGATTCTGTGGGAAACACTACATGACAGTCTCCTGACTTGTTCATTGCAGATCCTACTTGGAAATTTTATGTTGTTGTTTTATCTTTTTCTTTGCATTCCCACCAGCTTCCCCTCTTTCTTATGAAACCCCTCTGAATTACCTTCAGTGTGTTTTGCTTTTTCACATGCCCCCCCCCCAGTTGAAGCCATTTCTGCCTTTTGTTGCAAGATCTTTTTTTTGTTTCTTTTAAATCTGTGTGTGTGTGTTTGCACTGCTCCCTCATTCTGTTTGTATGTTTTTGTTCACAGAAAGGACTAAAGAATGTGTTTGATGAGGCGATATTGGCTGCATTGGAGCCCCCAGAGCCCAAGAAGAAACGCAAATGTGTGCTGCTATGAGAGGCTCCTACCTTTCCAAAGCACACACCCCCTTCACTCACGCATACACACACACACACACACACACACACACACACACACACACAGAAATACACACGTCTTTAAATACATACATCCCTGCCTCTCCCAAACCCCCCTCCCTTGCTCTGCTAAGGCTGCTTGACAGCATTGTTTTCCTTGTGGAAGACTAGGAAGAAAACAGCCTACCAAGTTTCAGATAATTCTCTGCAATAATAACAACCAAGCTTCACCCCTGCGTCTGAGTTCGGGATAAAACATGAACGTTACATGGCCAAGAACCCAGTGAGGGCTCAGACAGGGATCCAGATACCAAGCATACTCACAAGTAGAAATCCCTCTGTCAAGCTTTGGATAGCTGATTTCATTAGTTCAGTCAGTGTTGTGGCCTAATCGAGTTCTAGCTGTCCAGCCGTGTAGTCGTCTTCAGCCAATGTAAAGGTTTCGTGGACATAAGCCCAGCCCCAGCCCCTCCCAGCTGCTTAATTAGCAGCTGCTCATGCTGCTGTTCCCGTCGCCTCAGTTGACGAGCACGCTCATTGCTCAGCCCACCTCTATGTTCTCACTCAGCACTACCACAAGAGATGCTAACAGAGTAGTGTTGTTGATTTTGTTTGCCAACACCTCCTTTATCCCTCAAACAGTCTGAGATATTTACTCGATGTTCCAAGTAGACGCGCTCTTAACCACTAGGACACCGTGGGGGTTTGACACAGCTCGGAAATTCAGTCAAGGCTCCATCAAGCCTTACCTCCACAGTACAGAGTAGCAGTCTTTTTAAGAGTGTGGAAATCACTTGAAAAGCTAAAGGCATTCATTAGTAATGGGTCTCATAGTCGACCACAGGAATTGGCCTTTTAGATGGAGGGAACTTAAACAGTGTTAGCAGAACAAGCGGTTGTTCTTCATGCGTTGCCAGGGACCAAGTAGATTACTGTTTTCACATTGTCATCACCGTACACTGAGAACGGGCATAGCAGAGACAACTGTGTTAAATGACGAATGCTTATTGGCCAGACAACAGATGAGCAAATGTGAATTTTCACCAGATTTCTGTGCCAGGTCAGAATTTGGTGCCTTCCTGTAGTGCGTCATATCCAGGCAGAGGTGTGAGGCCTGTTGTACCTGTTCACACTGTACGGCGCTGCATGTAGCTCGGCCTTGGTCTCTGTTCTAAATGATAGGTTTAACAGATGTAATTATAATGTAAGCTGGCACACAATGTTCATGTAGGCTCCAGGTGTTTTTACCAAAATCTGTTTTTCTTTATCATTTCTGTTTGTGTGTTGTTGTTTGTTTTTTTTATTTTTTATTTTTTTATTATAATTTCATATATATATATATATTTTTAAAAATATATATATATATAATATATATATATATATATATATATATATATATATATATTTTAATGTATTCGAATAAAAAAGGTTACTTTCACTCCTTTTACATTTTAGGGGTCGGAACTCATCTGAACTCTCACCCGCCAGTTTATACCAAGTAAACCTCTGATTGGTTTAGCTGAATAAAAACCTCCAATGGCAGCGAGACTGTTTGGTAATGATTATTTGTGATTGGTTGGTTCTTGTTTTTCTTTACTGGTGGCTTAGAGTTGGGTCGACGTCCAGCCCAAGTCAGTAAAATTATTATTATAACCTGTTGTTGTTTTGGTGCAAAACCAAATGCTTTGTCTAAAGTCTTTGTTCTTTGTATATGCATTCTTTTCAAAAATATTAAACTTATACCTTAATTGCCTTTACCACTTTGCACTTGCTGTTCTTTGTTTATCCAGCCAGCAGGTGGAGCTGTCTAATCACATCTCCATCGTCTATATCCTTCATTCGAAGCTGATAAATGAAAATGTTGCAAAACGCCCACAAAAGTTCACTGAAATGTTTTGGGGTTTTTTTCCATTACAAAAACCTAAAGCATCATTATAAAAAATATTAATTATGTTGACAGGTTTGAACAGATTTTCAGGATTGCATTGTCAGAATATTTAAGTTTAGAGGTCCGTACGTTGGGAAGGTGTGTGTTTACCTGCTGAAAACTACTTCGCTTAGCACGTTACCATGTTATCCTGATGAGAGACGAAACCATTTTCCTACTCATGGCCCGTTTTTTTTTTACTATGTATCATTGGTGATGCTCTTAAATTGAAGGGGGAAATGTAAGTTGTCTCCATTACATACAGTATTCATCTCATTACATAAGTCTTACCTTACATGGTAGTAAAGTATAGCCCCTTGTATATTTGGAGGATTCCCAGCATGACAACTTTGATTAAGCTATTCTGTAATACTTGGCCTGTAATTAAAATACTGATCATAGTTAAACTGTCTAGCCAGATTTTCATTCTTTTCAAAATGAAAGTGCACTGTTACTCTAGTGACTCGATCCAGAGGTTCAGCCTCAAGGAGAGATCAACAAACCAACTTGACTAGGTAGGATTTTTTCCTTTTGTAAGATAGCATATTAATTGGAGCCTTTTTTGTTTCTTTTCTACAAACCAAGCATCCCCATTAAAGTACAGTGACTAACACCTTGTGACGTTACCTTGCTTGTGTGCATTAGAATTATCCATAGACTATATAAAAAGATAGCTGTAGCTCCCAGCTACAGCTATCCATCCATTAAACTTCCATTCATTTTAATGGCCAGTAGAGGGCAACATCTGAATAATTCAGATTATATAAAAATCTAAAGGAAAACAGCCGTGCTTTTGCTCATATAGCACCAAATCTCAATAACAGTCACCTCAAAGTGATTTAGAAGGATACAACCCTCATTGGGGAAATTCATGTATTCCTGCAGCAAAGTTACAGGCAGATGGAGCATCCGGATTCATGGTATTATTATTATTATTATTAAAGGTATTATTTATATTGTAAAGACCTAAACTCCAGCAATCGGACGACCTCTTATGAGAAAGCACTTGGCAACAGTGGGAAAGAAAAACTGTGGGTGGGGGGAGGAAGACATGATAAAAGACACACTGTGGAAGAGAGAAAGAGATTAATAATAACTAATAATTGCAGAGTGGTGTATAAACACAGAGAGAGACATAGTGGGTCAACTTCCCTCTTAAGGGTTTAAATACATGAAACTCCACCATTTGATTGTAGAAGTTTCTTGGATGGCAGGTGAGATGTCGTCATGAAACTTACAGAAATCCGGTCCCTTTCTTTTCAAGCTCCTTTGACTATCGTCACCTGGATGACATATCACCCATGTCCTTCAAAACTTCATCTAGCCAGTGCCATATTTTAAAGATGATTAAAACATAGTTTGAACGTTGCTATTCTCGAATGTGATCTTTTATTTCCTATCAAATGAATCACTCGCCTTCCATCACACGCACACTCACGCAGGATCCAGCCGTGTGCTGATGTCAGATGGTGTTGAGTGATCGGTATTGTTTTCATATAGCTTGCACAGATGTCCCAAAATTCCTCAAATGACAGCAAATGAGGGTAATCTCCCAAGTTTCATGACCTGGATCATCTGCCACAGACAGTTGGGATGGATGTTACGCAGCAGCCCCCACCACCCCTCACCCGTGGATCCCTTATTCACCCTCATCCACCCCTGTGAGGCGTTCACACATTCCCTGAGTTTCTGGAGTGCTGTCTGTCAGCGCCTTCTTCCGCTAAAGAGACGCTGACAGCCATTAATTATCACACGGGCTGAACGAAGGGCATTCCTCTCTGCTGAAATATTCATGCAGACACACACGCAGATGCTCCTCAGCCCTCTGCATCCACACACATATGCTGAGAGACGCCACCTAGCCTCCACCGGTCTTCGTTGCATTTGACAAATGAGTAAACGTTTTGTTCCAAGCAGTTGTCCGATCCCC